TAACGGGTGACCATGAGGATGTTGCAGATCCAATTGTTAAATTTGTTCTCGTTAAAGATCACCTTCTCAAACAAGTTCATGAGTGAGAATGAGCCGGAAGGGTTTGAGCCTGAAGCGTTGTTGTTTGAAGTAGACATCTGAAAAAGAAAAGAGACAAAGTTTAGATTAGATAAGAATCCCCAATTAAACACCCAAATGAAAAATTAGGGCTAGGAACCAAAACAAATATTTACAATTTAGAAGAGGGATGCTGTAATCTAATTGCAAATAATTTGAAGGTAGGTAAATGACGATTTACCAATTTCCACCATGAAAAACGGAAAAGACAATTAAGTTTTAAATGAACTGAAATTCCTAGATTCTTTTGAGATTCATTGAACTTTTCAATGGTATGTTTCAATCTCGATATGCTCTTCAAGTTTGGGACTGGGATACCGAGGATCACAAACAAGATGTGAATAACCATGCAAATGTACTTGGTACTCTCGATGTCATTTACCACCTAATCAATGTGTCAGTTATCCACACATGCTCCATTGATCTATGATAACATCGAGCTACCCTTTTCCACCTTTTCTAGTCCTAAACTAGTGTGCCGGTTAACCACACATGCTCTAATAACGACTTGGCAAGGTGCAAAATGTAATTTCATGGAATAACATCATTTTCACATTTTTCCTAAAGTAAATAAGATTGGGAGTTTATAAAAACATTTAGTTACTTTATATGGATCATTATACTTATTAATGAGGAATTAGTTGCTATATCCTACCCATTCGGCTAACGACCCTTCACCAATTAAGGAAGCGGTGGGTGAGAGTGAACACCCGTTCAATCGCCATTTTATAGGCAGTTTCCTTATACCCCCTTATAGACCGGCTTCGTGAATGAGGCCTACTAATGGTAAGACTAACTTTATCTTATACATAAATATAATAATTAATCTTATAATATTATAATAGTATAATGGTTGAATTTTAAACTTGTAAAATTCTAGGGTTTGGAATTTAAATATTTTAAAATTAAAACTTTTAATTAAAGATTCAAATCCCAAAACCTGAGGTCAAATTTTGAAATTTTTCAAAACATCTTTTAGATCAAATTTGAAAAATAATTAAATAATCATATCATTAATCTTTATCATATAATTTGACCTAATCTATTTTCTTGACAAGATAATTCAAATCAAAATACAAATAATCAATCTTTATCATATAAAACAAGTAATTATCTTATTTATAACAATTATCTTTCAATTGCATTAGGAGAATCAATACCATATTAAAAAAAATTGAATTTTATCAGTAAAAAACGTTTTGGTAATTATCCTAATTCAGTTTCAGTTAAAATCCCGAAAATCATCCATCTATGACCTGAGTCGCCGAGTCACTGACTGGACTCGTCGAGTTGCCCTGACTCGTCGAGTTCATTAGGTGACTCAACGAGTTCATCAGTCAGATGCACAAATTTTCAACTTTTCATCTTTGAACAAGTTAGCAATGCATCAAATACAATAGAGAAGCCGCCTAGGCTCTGATACCACTGCTGGGTTATGAGCAAATCATCAATCATATGGTGCACATGCAAACTCTAAAGCTTTGGATCTAGGTTTTTTCTATGTGTACACGCAATAATCCTCCAGAGCTTGTAAACCCTAATTCTAGCATAGCAAAATTGAAAATACATCTAATAAACAAGTTAGGGTATTACCTTTGAATGTAGCTTGATGATCTTGAGTTTATGAGAACCTAGCACCTCAAATGTGATGCCTCTAATGAATCACAAACACCAAGGCAATTGGAGAATCTTAGCGAGATAGTGAGGAGGCTCAAAATTCGGCTGGCAATCTTTCTAGGGTTCAAGTGGCCGAAAATTAGATGCCCAAGGGGTCTTTATATAGGCGAGGAATTAGGGTTTTTGTCAAAGACCTAATCCGGTTGCTTAGGCTCTAAGTAGCCCATAAGAATCTTCCAGAACCTTAGCCCTTGGACAAAATCCTTATGGACTCCCATAAGATTTCGTCCAACTCTTTCCAAAGGGTTCCTTTGCCATTATGCAATTATCTTATAATTACAACTTCAGCCCCCTTGATTTAATCAATCTCTTTTGACCACAAAATTTATTCTAAATTAATTCTTGACCAATAGTAATTAAACAATATGGTTTCTATTTTAATATAATATTCATGTCGTGGTTATGGGTTTTCACATATTTCCAACTTCAAACAATCATAATTTATTCATTTAAAACTCGTTATCAATGATCTTTATATGCATATAAAGGTATTAACAATCCCTATAATTCTATCAAATTATTTTTGACTTAATGCAGACCAAACTTAATTCATTAATACATTGAAAAAGTCACAAAATATCACTTTTCCCATTTTACCCTTTTGCATCCAAAGCATAATTCAAGGGTTTACATCACTTCTAATAAGGTATACAATTTATTCCCTTTAAACCTAAGATCTTTACTCGATCAAATTATGATTCACTATCCCGAAAATAGAAACATCCCAAACAGGATGTTACATTAATGTTCCAAAAATATTTGATGTGTGTCTAGCATAATTTAGTGTTTTAAAAACATAAAGCTAATAATATTGTGTAACACCCATCGCTAGGCTCTATTTGAAAACAGCTTAAAAAAATCTTTCATGTTTACAATCAAAATTAGTGTGTGTGTAACACCCCTTGTTAGGGCCTTAATTTTTTTTGTTTATATATATATATATATATATATATATATATATATATGTGTGTGTGTGTGTGTGTGTGTGTGTGTGTGTGTGTGTGTGTGTGTGTGTGACCCAACCCAAACGGTGAGCAACACAGGCGGTCGCCCATGATCTATGTCTCTAAGGGACCTAAAATTCCTAGAGTAATGGTATGTATTAAAAGAGAAAAATAATTAACTTGTCTAAAAGTACTATGAGACTTTAAATTAGTTGTTTTTACGATGTATTTGCAATATTTGTGTTTTTTAATATTAGTAGTGAACTTTGTTAATTTTATGACATATGCCTATTTTCGATTAGATTTTGATTATATTTATTATTTTGGAGATATTTTTTTTTCTTTTCGTCATGGGTCCATTGTATCTTTAGATCCGGTATATGTTTTAGGTTTTCTAATTAATTTATGAGGAACTCCTTTAAAAAATTTTTGGTTTCGTCTTTGCTTACACATTCATATACATACGACAATACACAACAACAACAACAGTAAAAATAATTTTAAGAAAAGAATAATAATAATAACTAAATATATGTATAAAAATCAAAGAGTTAAAAAGAAAATGAGTAAGGTAAACCGGTTAGTAACGGTTTTGATGTATTAATTTGAGATTGGAGGCCTTCGTGCGAGATTTGTGTTTTTTAGTAACATTTTCAACATAATTAATGGGATATTTAAATAAAGAAAAATTAAACATCCTCCTGCTTTTTGTTCAATCCTTGCATAATTAGGGTTTTTAAGTTAGTAGGCATTATGTGGGAACGAAGGGCATGTGTAGTTGTGTATTACAATATAATCACCCTTTGTTTTTTTCTAGTATTCAACAAGTTTGTATATCATTGTGTAATTATACATAAACATTTTGCAGTAATTTACCTACACCGAACTATAAATAAACAGGAGCATCAGAGACATGGGGAGATGACCGATCGATCGAGGAGGAGAGGAGCATGGATATATATATATATATATATATATATATATATATATATATATATATATATATATATATATATATATATATATATATATATATATATATATATATATATATAGTGCCTGCAGTGAGGGAGGAGCTAGCGATGGGATATCATCACTGAATTAATTAAGGTCTTATCGCTGCCTAAAAGGGCATAGTATATATATCGATATTGTAGTGATTATCCTAATCATCCTCCCCTTTAGCACCACTAATTAGATCTTTTTCAAGCCGAGAGCATTGACCTTATTCTTGTCTCGGCAGATCCATCCATAGTCCCGGGCTTTCTGTTAATCAAATGGATGAAACCTTAATTAATTAAAGGCACAAATGAGTTGCAATGTTAATGCTTACACTTTAGTTTTTAAAATCATTGTAACCTTAAAGGAGAAGGATTAAACTAGCTACGACACTTGCAGGCTGGTAAATATATATGCCTAATACATAAAGCACATCTAAAGATTTAGAAAGGATAACTATATGTCAAATTTCCTGTTCAGAAACTAAACTTATAGAGAAGAATGAAAGAAAAAAAATCCTGAATCAAGATAGCTTGATGGAGATGGAATAGCTTGATTATGAATGATCTGAACATATTGATCATAGCTAAAGACTACACCACACTACAAGCAGCTGGACAAGAACAACAAAATAGAGCTCACTATTCAACATTTAACTGTCCTCTGGTGGTAATATTTATATATATACCTTGAATGTCTTTTTGGTTCAAATCCCTCGGTCTTTTCTTCCTCGTCTATTGGAAAATAAAACGACAATAGAGAGCTAATTTCAACTTGTCAATAAGTATCCACGTAGGTTCCTTAATCAACAATATTTTGATATGTCTGCCTATATATACTGTTAATTAGTAGCTCTATAGTATCTTACCTTTGACCCACATTTAAGAAATTAGCATGACTGCCAACAAGGATCGATAGCATTCAGCAGAATCGAACCGCAATCATGATGGACAACTCTCATTTTATGAGATTATATATTGATGACTATGTGATCATCGTTTAGCTAACAATATATACGTGTGTGTGTATATATATGCATGTGTGCATGTTTGTCTTTAATTTCCCATTGTTTGCATGCGGTAGATTACGGAACTAATTCACACAAACGCAAAACCCAAAGACTTGTTTATTATTTACACCTGCTGTGTGTGCCTTTTGTTTATACTTGAAGTTTACCCAGACCATACGATCAGAAAGGTTATAGTAGCAGATAACCGTTCAAGATTCTCAGACAAAAATAAATACACATCGTGTGATTGCTTTGAATCAACACCCACATAATAAGCAGCATAACCATGATTGATCAAAGATGGTTTCTTTAAGGATCTGAAACACTAAACGTATAGTACGAAATATTTCCCATAGATTCGTAGAAAAAACTACCTCTTGAACATAAGTATTAAACTAAGGGTTTGTTTAGCTAGGTGAAGTTGCACTCGTTAAAACTTTTCCGTGTTGAAATAAAAGTAGAGGCCTTGTATATACAGGTTTCTGGATCCCTACTGCAGCCCTAAAAAGAAAGAAACGTATACAGATTTAAGGTAGATATCATGAGCGATGTGTACAAACACACAGAGACTAAAATATGGGTAATTAAAGGGCAGAGCAGTGAGTACGCACCTATATATTGCTAGAGCCAAGTTCAGCTTTTAAGAGGAAGTTATTAATTAGGAAGTGAAACTAGTTTTTTGTAGAGCTAGCAACTATATCAGGTAGTCTTGACCATAAACCTGGGATTAGCAATTTCTAATTAGTAATTACACGATGATATTAATATTTACTTAGTTAGTATTTAGTATAAGCTATAATTAAAGCTAATTTAAAACTAGGTTACTAAAACATAGCTCACTAAGAAACGTCAGATTTTCTTCTAATCAAGACTTCATAAACTAATATTAAATGAAATCATACCAAAATTACACAAGATCTAAGAACGAAATCAATCATAAGGTAGCTTAGGGTTTTCAAACTTAATTATGAACATTTCTAGGGTTTGCTAGCTGGCCTAGTTTATTTTATATAATAATAATAGGTAGCAAAATGGCATGTCTTGGATACAGGTGGGGGCAAATATCCTCTAGGAATACCAAAATTGACAGAGCAAACAGAAAGTATATATAAATATTTATATATTTAAATATTTTCTAGCTGATCCCAAGCTGATCTTGATTTTCTCATCTGATCAGCTAATGTTGAATACACCCGAAAGCAATTGAGTGAAGATCTTCTGTTTTGTCTTGGAAAAACCATTCTTTGTTATGGCTTATTTGCATGTCCAAAGAATCAATGGAGTAACTTGAACCTTCGTGGAAGCTGGAAAATGACCCATCTTCTTCCTTAAGAAGCGAATTCTGGTAGTGTTGATTTCCCATGAAGTTGAAATTGATGGTCTCATTCATATTGTTGGTGCTTGAATTTTTATCAATTTGGGGTGTATTTATGCACGATGATTGTTCTGATTGCTGCATCCAATTAGTCTGGATGTCTTGTGGAGTTGTGTAAGAAGGATGTCCTCCGTTAGGTCGACTGTAGTTGGTAGGATAGTTCGAACAACTGGAGCCATTGACTAAGCTTTGAGCTGCCTGCTCTTTTAAAAAAGCTAGTTGGGATTGTAAACTAACCACCTGTTAAACAAAAGCAACAATAATCAGAACGAAATCTAGCTAGCTACATATATATAGCAAAGAATATTAGGGTATATATATATATGTCATGATTTCGATATATTTGAAAGCAGATTAATGTATACCTGTTGTTGTAGCGCGAAGATATGTGAAACGCAGCCATAAATGGGATCTTGAACCCTAGCTTGAGCTTCATAGGCGATGGTAATGGCGGCTTCACACCGACCACTGACAGGAAGGTGAGCAAGGAGTTTAGAGACATTGCTGGCACCAAATACCCTGTGAATGGCTGAAAAATGGGCAGCACCTTGTTCATGGCAAAAATAAGGGGCAAAAACACAACCCCTTACACATTTCCTTCTTAAGAACTTGCAAGCACCACAAGGAGAGCCTGATCCAGTCATCTTAATGTGATGTTTTCGATTTTATTCTCAAGATATATAACTTGGTTTTTAAAGTTTTTGATGATGAGATATATAATTATAATTGGGTTTGTTCTGATCTTGATGCAAGCATTATCACCATGTTTATAAACACAAGAGGGTGAGGGTGAGGGGGTGGATCATATTGTAAGGAATATTTTAACCACAAACGGTTCCCTTAATGGCCTACAGTTTGTATTATTTTATTTCCATGAAAAAAAACAAATTTTTTTTTGAACTCCACCCCAAACCCAGCCCCACTCTCCCTTCTGTTTTCCTTAATTTTAATTCTTTTTGTAGAACAGCCTTTGTTTTAATTCTAATTACTCCTTTCCCTATAAGATTCCATTTCAACTCCTAAAGAACAAAAGAGCTACAACAAAGGTGCTCTCCCTTAGATATGTTAATTTGAAGATAAATGGATCTTTTCTCAGATAATTAACCATGCTAAATAATCTCCTTTTACATACATACATACATACATACATACATACTTTTTCTAGAACTTGGATCCACACACACTCTAATCTACTCTTATTACTCATACTTCCACACACACTCTAATATACTCTTATTACTCATACTTCCACCTATATCGAGAACTCTCAACTTCTTTAGAGGGAGTCATCTCACCATACCGCTAAGCCAAATTAAAGGCCTATAAGTACATACATACATACATACATACATGGGAAAAATTCCTAGAGGCATCCACTTTTTGGTCATTGTTGGTATTTTGTATCAAGTGAGTGTTTTTGCAAGTTTATCCAATGATATATATTAACTGGTTTGATGATTCTTCATAGAACCTAACAAGTTCTCATACTTGAACTAGTTGTTGATCTTGAAATGGACATATATATATATGAGCTACGTGTACACCAGAGCTAAGAGCTTACCTATATTTCATTCTCAGTATGATCAAGGGAAATGGAGGTTTTGTCTTAGAATACAAATTAAGGAAAACAACCCATAAGATGCATGTATCTAATCTAAAAGGTAAATGGAAATGGAAAAAATTGAGCAAGATTTATCCTGTAGTGGAACTAGGAATGTGATTCATCATTTAGTACATTTATTAGTACATATATAGGTGCCTAAAGTTAACCTTTTGCGTTCTCATTTCACAGCCCAAGCTTCTGATTATCAATCCATTTAGAGTTCCAAATTTACCAGAAACTGTAATACTTATAAATTTACCCAACATGAATCATAATTAATTTAAGGGGGTATGAAAAGGTCATACCTTTTGATCTCATCGATCTAGTACCCTACACAAGCTGCTTTATGTGTACGGAAAAATACTATTAAAGTTTTAACAAATGTCATAAAAAAAAAAGGACCCTTTGACCATAAAACTTGATCGGCTAATGTGAATGATTAGCAAGGTTCGTGTATCACCCATTTTTCTGGTCAATCAATAACCTAATAAGAGCATTCACAATGAATGGTTCAATGAGATATTTCATTGAGGTGGCAAGCCTTAGTTGTCATTCAACAGATCAAAAGATAATAGTATGAGATGCAACCTTTACATTCAATAGGAAGTTCTCTAATTCTTACATAAATGTTTAAATATCTTCCATTAAACTTGGTAGAGTTTAAAGCATTTAAAAAAAAAAAAAAAAAAAACTAAGAAGAGTTGTATGAAACACAAAATGATAAAGTTACAATCAATTGGAGTAATGCATTATGAATACACTAAATACACTAACAAATACAGGTTGTGTTTGCTACGCTCATACCTACTCTGTAGACCATGGTCCAGAAGTTATAAATTGAACATGTAGGATCCACTGCATTTTACGTAATCTTTAATTTTGTATTCACTGAATACGTCATGAACATGATCAAAGATGTGAAATTCAATAATTATCAAGTACTAGGTTAGCAGGTGATCAGTTCAATCAATACATAAGAGATTGCCTTTGTACTCATATGCACAGGTATGTATTATGTGTGTATATTTATATGTATATTATATTTACTGACTGATCAGGTATGTGAAAAGAATAAAAAAAAATATAGGGATCTGTGTTAATCTTGTCTAGACATAAGCTGTTCACTTCTGTCGTATCCAGACGAATACCAAAAAATTAATTATGCACCAAAAAGAACATATTCCATAGCTAAAAGAAACAACAGATAGTGCCACACACCATAATAGAACACCGGACACCTGACTCAAGGAAGCATGTCGAAAGAGAAAGAGAGAGAGAGAGAGAGAGAGAGAGAGGTACTCCAGTGGATCCAAATCAAAGAGATTGAATTGTTTAAGTGTTTCAGGTGACCGCTTGTCGAGCATTATTGTACGATCTTTTATTAACAAATCTTGATTAGTTTGTCATTAATCAAATTCATTCACTTTTCTCTGTCACCCATGGTAGATCGATGGACCACTCTGATACTAATATCGCTCCAAGGTAGAATAGTTTTTACATTACAAGCGAGTTGAGCAAAAACGCTCGTTAAAAATACTTCTGATTGAAAACCTTCCATTCACGTTAAGGTGAGGTTTTAATATAGTTTTAGGATAATTAATTAATCAACCTACTCTAATCGAGTTATGTAAAATGGTTAATCATAAGGATATATACCAGAAATGGGGTTCCAATCAGAATCTGATTTTTCTTTTTTTCTTTTAAATAATTATAGCAGATGACCGGTGTGTAGCTCAATTGGTGCGTCCCAATATTCATCCCTCCTTTTTAATCGATTGCCCGGTGTGTAGCTCAATCCTAATCTCGTGAAACTCTCCTTTCCAATAAATTTTCAAAATTGAAATTGAAATAAACTCCCCATGAGTCTTGGATCATGTCAAATCTCTTGACTTCCAAAACACAATCCTCTATTTTTAAAATCACTTACTATCTCTTTATTTTTCAAATTAAACTTTGCCAAAAAATGAATCAGTGTGTTGGGATTATATTTTCACTCCAGTTTACACAGTTGAGGCCATCAATTTACTCAATTTCATTCTTACCTCAAGCCGAAGCCATGTTTTTTGTACTTCCTATAACCTGCTCATGATATTTTTTAGTCTGCTAGCTTGTCATAATTGCAACCCCACTTGTGTAGTTAATTGAACTTGGTCCTCAAATTTTCAAAAATGTTTGTGAAGTAGCTATAGATTTATACACATGGATGAATCGTGAAATTTTGTTTGATTTTTAATCATTACTTGAACCGTTAAGTTTTTAGTTTCTTCTCTTTGATGCATGATTTTGTGCCGTTTATAATCTTTTCTGTCGTCTTACTTATAAAAAACTAAATCCTCATGATATAATAAGTAAAGAAAATAGTAACAACCATGAATGTGAAAAAAAAATAAAAAATAGTAACAACCATGAATGTGAAAACCCCACTATAGAGTTATATGAAAATGGCATGTGGACGTTGAAGAGGAACAAAATAAGTAGCTGCACATATCCTAATTTTTTGGGGCCTAATTTCATTTATTTATTATATATTTTATATATATATTTATTTAAAAATAAAAAACTTATAATAACGATAAGAGTCCATTTTTTCTAACTCATCCTGAGCATTTGATGATATTTAAATTTTGTGAAGTGGCCTTAGATATGGAAACTGTTAAATAACATGTTTATTCGGAGAAAAGGAATAGACCGCTTTTAAAGAAAGAATGAAATTAAATTGTTGATTGTCCGAAGAAGATTAATAAATCTAACTCGATTAAGGATGTAGAGTTTAGCATGTTGGGTTATGAAATTTTCTTAAGCACAAAGCAATAGTAACAAACAAATTAACAAACAAAGATGAAATCACATGTTGGATTAATGTATCTAAAGTTTTAACAAAATTGGTATAATTTTGGTGAATATGAGTAAATTTTTTTGGGTTGCTCTCATAACCAGAAATCACTAGAAATTACTATAAGAGAGAGATTAAATGATTAACTAATATATCAATTAGAAATAGTAATAATTAATCAATAATTAATTGGAATTAATTCAAAATTAATTTTGGATTAATTAGAATTAATTTGAGGTATAATGGTTGAATTATAATTGTTCGATAGTTGAGAAAACGAGAGATTCTAGAACCTCCTAACAGTAGATGGTTTTAGGGCTCATTCAAAAGGGTTGTGGAAGCCCCCTATTGCTGATAAGGAAAATAATTTAAATAAGGTTAAAATATTATTATTTTAATATTCAAATTCAGATTTTCTTTAACTGTAAATACTGAGTCTCATAAGCCACAATTTGTGCTGTAACATTTTGTTAGGTGCATTTTATGCACCAATTTTGTAGCTTTATTTCATAAAAGTGCATTGCATATGGACTTAAACTCATGCACTTTGCATGTTTTTCAGGATTTTTCATGAGACAATTTCATTCACATATTTTGTGATATTTCAAAGACTTTTGGAGGTAGGATCTTGTTTGAGGAGGTTAATAAGAGCTGCGGACAAAATTTCAGGACTTACGGAGCATCGAGAACGAAGATATCAAATAAATGAAGATTTTAGCTTTTTAGAGATTTACACGGGCCGTATAAATGTAATGTTTATACGGGCCGTGTAAACGTAGATTTCGGAGCATTGTACTTTGAAGGCATGACCATATTGCACAGTGTACTTTTATATTTACACGGGCCGTGCATAGGTCGTGTAAACGTGGTCGTAAGTTTAAAGCAGTTTTTCTTCTTTCTAAAAAGATGCAACCCGTTCCATTAGAAGTTGAGTCGATTTTAGGAGTTCTGGAGTCGATTTTTTTGGAGGATTTGGAAGACAATTAATACTTGGAAACACTTGGGTTTCATTTGGATTTCAATTTGTAAGACTCTAACTTTAATTTCTAGATTTGTGTTTTGTTCTAGTCATGTATGGCTAGAACCCTAGACTCTCCATCTTCTTGTATTGACTATTGCATGTGACTGAATGTTTGTTTTTAAATGCCATCTAGTGAATTTGATTTTGTTTTAATTGAAAGTTTGATTTAAATTCTAATTCTTTTTGGCCAATTGAGTTACGATTGAATCATTCAAGTTATCTATTATGCAAAATCCGTAATTGTTTTGTAAAATGGAACAAGTAACAAGCACTAAATCAAACTATTTACAAAGATTCTAGTGT